ACTTGACCTAACTTGACCTACCTTAATCTAAAATAACCTAACGTAACGTAACGTAACCTTGCCTTGCCTAACCTAACCTAACCTTGCCTAACATAATTCTACACCTTAACTCCCCCAAGATAGCATCAGGGTGGTAAATCTTCCGTTGAAATAAGCTAGTTGTTTAATCTTCAGATGATCCGAAAAAGGTGAACTCAGGCAGCCAATCACGACCTATTGTAAGACCGCCCAGGAACCAATCAGCGTTGACCTTTTTGGGCGATGAATCGGTCGTTCGTATCCTCAGTAATTAACATTCTTCGTTAGATCTTATTTTCACATTTGTATAAATTATCAAGTTTATTATTATTCAACAAAACATTGACTTTATAATTATATGATTGTGTCAAAGTTAAGGACATGTTAATGAAGGAGACTGTACAAAGTGTGTTGGTCGATACAGTGGTCCCCGACCTGTAGTCCACGACGCCCACCGACCCGTCAAGGTCTATTAGAAAATTATGAATTATTTGGGATTATTTGTAAGAATGAAATTAATGAAATATGTAATAACTTGATACAACTGTTGTGTGTATTCACCCCAGACCGGGCCCAGAGAGAGCCAGCCTTCTCACTGGGGTAAATACACACGTCCTGTCCAAGAGTAAATGTAAAAACTATGTACCGGTTACTGGTAACGGCTAGACGTGTAAACTTACAAATAACTGTACAGTATATAGGATATTTTTTTTAATGTAGATCCAAAGTTTCTATGTCCCCCACTGTATTTACAATGATAAATGTGGCCCAGAGTCTACAGAAGGTTGAGGACCACTGGTCAATACTAGGCAGCACTGTTTACAACCAACAACCTAATCTAACCTAACCAAACCTCAACTAACAACCAAATTTAAGTTGACCTAAACTATCCAACAAACTTAACCTCACCTAATGTAACTCAACCAAACCTAACCTAACCCAACCTAACCTAACCTACCATAATCTAACTTACCCATAAGGCAGCGTTACGGTTTATAATCTCCATGTAAAATAAACTAAGATTCATATTTTTTTCCTAACAATTTTGGCTCAAATCGGAAAAAAGTCCAAATTTTATCTTTTTATATTTTTTATTCTTGTCGAAAAAAAAGTCTCGTCCCTTTGGTCAAGAGGCAACGGTAGACATGACTCCTGATTGACCTCACCCACGACACAATACCCAGAGGAGGTGAAGGTCATAGGTTATTGGTCCTAACCCCCCCCTTTTCAGCCTCCCCATAGGGCCACTGCTGGATCTTGACCCTCCTACCTCTACCCCCCTTCCCTTACCACCCCCATATGCTAAGCCGAATACTTTATACATGTTAGTAATAATGGGTTTCACAAAGTCCTAATGGGTTGAAGACATAATGAGCCATCGCTGTAATAGTGTAATGGTACATAGTCTTTGTGATTGGGTCATTTGAGGTTAGGTACCGTTATTATTGGTTAGTTTTATCTCTACAACCTCTTAGCTAAGACAAATGATGGAGAATTAAGGAGGGAAGAGTCATTAAAGGAGAAAATAAGGTGAGAATAGATGAAACATGGAAATAAAAGATAAAATGAAGAATAGAAAACTAAAGGAAGAATCGAAATAAGCGACGGAAACACAAAATCATCATTAATAGAAAACGGAATTATTAGAAAGAACATTTGAGGAGTAACTAAAGAAAAAATATCGAACATTATTTTTTTTTTCACACGTCAGAAATAATTAACTCGTTGTTGGTGGTCCCGGGAGTCTAGAATGGCCACCAGTCCTAATGGGTCCCAAACCAAACCGTGAGGAATAGGGGCCTACTAGATAGGGCCTCAGTCCAACTAATTAAGATAGGTTGGATTGGGAGCCATTTGGACACCTGGTCAACTGAACAAATTTGTATTTCTGTTTTCTGTCTTAAGTCTAATTCCTTCTTTCATTATTCTTTCTTTATCTTATTTTTCTCTTTCCTCCCTCATTCATCTCTTCCTTCTCCTCTTCCTCCACTTTTATCTCCTCTTTCTTCCACTTCTCTTTTATCTTTCCTTCTCCCTATTCACCTCTCCTGTCTTTTGATTCCCTCCTTCCTTTTCTTCCTCCTCCCTTCCACCCCACCCTCCCCTTCCCCCCTCCCCCCTACCCTCCCCCTCTCCCCCTTCAGCCAGCACACACCACTCAGCCATTGTAAGGAATGATCAGCGAGAGATAGATCAGGTCTCCCTCCCCTGCCGAGGATGTCCCCCTCCCCCCTGCACGGACCAGAGACCAGCTGTGTCATTTGTTGCCAATTTTTATCATGGTGTTGAAAAAATATTTGTATGTCGTGTTACCTGGTTGTATGTAGGTGTGTGTGTGTGTGTGTGTGTGATGAAAATTGGGAGAGAATAGAGACAGACAGACAGACAGACAGAATAACCCAACAACTTTAGGAGGAGAGGCAGAAGTCCAAAAGACAGTAAACTCGTTCAACTTGTTCCATTTCTCCGTCTTGAGGTGCACACACACACACACACACACACACACACACACACACACACACACACACACACACACACACACGTACCTACCTACCAATTACAACCTCCATAACAACAACACAACCTTGACATAACAGAAAACCTCCATATAGTGAACCATCGACCTAATAACTAAAGAGAGAAAAACAAAAATATTAGAAATTACTAGACCAAATCACGCGGGCCAGTTACTAGACCGTAAAATCACACGGTCCAGTTACTAGACCGTAAATCACACGGTCAGTTACTAGACGTAAATCACGCAGCGTAAATCACGCGCCAGTTACTAGACCGTAAATCACACGGTCCAGTTACTAGACCGTAAATCACGCGGGCCAGTTACTAGACTGTAAATCACACGGTCCAGTTACTAGACCAAACACACGGTCCAGTTACTAGACCGTAAATCACACGGTCCAGTTACTAGACCGTAAATCACGCAGGCCAATTACTAGACCGTAAATCACACGGTCCAGTTACTAGACCGTAAATCACGCAGGCCAATTACTAGACCGTAAATACGCGCCAATTACTAGACCGTAAATCACACGGGTCAATTACTAGACCGTAAATCACGCGGGTCAATTGGATTTCGTGTGGTTTGTTAGGGTGTGAGTTGTGATTGGTGGATATTCTGTGATTTATTTTTATGGTGGAAGTAATAGAGAGAGTGTGAAAAATAACTAAAGAGAAAATGATAAAGATAATAATAAGGAAGAAAGATAATTAAATAATTGTGGTTTTGTTAAGTAGATAATGAGATGAACTGAAAATTATATGACCTAAAGGGAAATACATCAACACTCCATTAACTTAAAAGCCAATAACCCATTAACTATAACACATCAATAAACCATTAACCATAACATCAACGACCCCATTAACCATAACATCAACGATAACATCAACGACCCCATTAACTAACATCAACGCATTAACATAACATAACACCCCATTAACTACATCAACGACCCCATTAACCATAACATCAACGACCCCATTAACCATAACATCAAGACCCCATTAACCATAACATCAACGACCCCATTAACCATAACATCAACGACCCCATTAACCATAACATCAACGACCCCATTAACCATAACATCAACGACCCCATTAACCATAACATCAACGACCATTAACCATAACATCAACGACCCCATTAACCATAACATCAACGACCCCATTAACCATAACATCAACGACCCCATTAACCATAACATCAACGACCCATTAACTATAACATCAACGCATTAACCATAACATCAACGACCCCATTAACCATAACATCAACGACCCCATTAACCATAACATCAACGACCCCATTAACCATAACATCAACGACCCCATTAATCATTACATCAACGACCCCTTCAACTAACGACCCATTAACTCATTAACCATAACATCAACGACCCCATTAACTAACATCAACGACCATTAACTATAACATCAACGACCCCATTAACCATAACATCAACGACCCCATTAACCATAACATCAACGACCCCATTAACCATAACATCAACGACCCATTAACTATAACATCAACGACCCCATTAACCATAACATCAACGACCCCATTAACCATAACATCAACGACCCCATTAACCATAACATCAACGACCCCATTAACCATAACATCAACGACCCCATTAACCATAACATCAACGACCCCATTAACCATAACATCAACGACCCCATTAACCATAAATCAACGACCCATTAACCATAACATCAACGACCCCCATTAACCATAACATCAACGACCCCATTAACCATAACATCAACTACCCATTAACCATAACATCAAGACCCCATTAACCATAACATCAACGACCCCATTAACCAACATCAACGACCCATTTATGCATTAACCATAACATCAACGACCCATTAACCATAACATCAACGACCCCATTAACCAAGCCATTACCCTAAACACGTCAACCACTCCAGCCTCTTGGAACTTTCTGAAGATTTTTTTTCCTCGGGACAGTAGAGAAAGTTTCTCCAGTTGCTTGCGGTTGTTACCTCTTAGGGCTCTTAAGGTCCTCTTGTCCCTTAAAAGTTGGGGATTTATGGGTAAGGAAGGGATTTAGGGTTTTAAGGATGTAGGGGATTTTAAGGGTTATGGGGAAGTGAGGGATTTTTATGGGTTTAAGGTAAGGAGGATTTTAGGATTTTAGAGGGTAAGGAGAGTAAGGGATTATTTTGGGGGATTAAGGGTAAGGAATGGATTAATTTAAGGATTTTAAATCCTAAGGGGTTAAATAGTTTATATACCCATTACTCTATGAATTTATATATTCATCAACAAATTACTCATAACACATCTATATACATCAACCAATTTATATACTTACATAAACATTATCTCTAAACCATATATAAATCCGCAGATGTTAATATTTTTTTCCCAGAATGAACAAATCTTTATACAATTACTATTTATCTAATCATCTTTTTTTTTATCCCAGGAAGGACAACACTAGTGAAGTTCAGTTTATTGATCCGGAGTATGGGGCCGATCTCCGAGAAGGACATGGTAAGTCCTATCTACGTGTCCTAATGTCTGTATGTCTGTACGTAGTTTTATGCAATTTGTCTTAGCTCTGTGTGTGTGGTGGTGTGGGGGGTAGTAGCTGTGTGTGTATATATCTAGCTTTAGCTGCAGGTGTTGTGACACAGGTAAATCTTGATAATAGTTAGCTGAGTATTGACGTGGAGTGTAACTTGTGTTTGACCTCCTGAGAGAGAGAGAGAGAGAGAGAGAGGAAAACATAGACAGAAAACAAACAAACAAACAAACAGAGAGACAGACAGACACACATACAGATAAGGAAGACACTAGTTAACGGGGTATAATAATGACCTCATCATGGTGCATTTAAAGAAAGGATTATATATTAATTATATTCTGGTAAAACCACGCTGTTGAGGGTCTGGGGTAATTAGATATGGGAATTATATGTCAGATCGGAGGTGTAAGAATTAAGTGTAATTATTATTTTAGTAGTAGTATTTATCTATATCTATCTATCTATCTATCTATCTATCTATCTATCTATCTATCTATCTATCTATCTATTCATCTATCCCTCTCTCTGTCTCTTCCATCCTCTCTCCCCTTGTCCTTCCCAATTCTCTCTCCCTCCTTCTCCCCCCACCCTCCCTTTCCCCCCTACCCTCCCTCCCCCTCACCCTCCCTCCCCACCCTCCCTCTCCCCTCTCCCCCTCCCTCCCTCCCTCCCCCCACTCTCTCCTCCCTCTCCCTCCCTCTCCCTCCCCCTCCTACCCTCTCCTCTCTCCTCCCTCTCCCCACCCTCCTCCCTCCTCCCCCCTCTCTCTCTCCTCTCTCATACCCCCCACCCTCCCTCTCTCTCTCATCCTCCCTCTCCCTACCCTCCTTTGTCTCCTCCCTGCCTCTCTCCTCTACCCTCCCTCTCCCCACCCTTCCCCCCACCCTCCTCCCTCCCTCCCCCTCCCTCCTCCCTCCCTCCCTCCCTCCTCCCTCCCCTCCCTCTCCCCCTCCCACCCCCCTCTGGCCTGCCTCCACAATGAACGCACCATAAACTGTCTTTCGCTTGCTGTGTCTCGCTGTATGCAAATTAGCCCTCGTAAGACACCTGCAGTAATGGATACAGCTTGGCGGGTCCTCGTCTGTCTGTCTGTCTGTCTGTGTCTCTGTCTGTGTCTCTGTCTGTCTGTCTGTCTGTGTCTCTGTCTGTCTGTCTGTCTCTATTTGTCTGTTTGTATGCCTGTCTGTCTGTCTGTCTGTCTGTCTGTCTGTCTGTCTGTCTGATTGTAAGCCTGCCTGTCTGTCTGTCTGCCTGTCTGCCTGTCTGTCTATCTTTCTGTCTGTTTGTATGCCTGTCTATCTGTCTGTCTGTCTATCTGTCTGTCTGTCTGTCTGTCTGTTTGTATGCCTGTCTGTCTGTCTATCTGTCTGTCTGATGTAACCATAGCAACAGCATCATTTTTTAGACGCGTCGCACTTTTCACGCTGCAATAGGCTCATTAGCGTTAATTATACGGCAATTAGAGCATTCAAAGGTGCAGTAACTAGCCGGCGATTTGTGAACAAGCTGACCCCGACAAGCAATTAAGACGAGATGTTATATTTAAGTTCAACGAGATTAATGATGATTTAAATTGATTAAGTCTAGATTATGTATAGAATCCTAACCTAAATTTTAACCAATTTCCAATCTTAGTTTAAGTTAGGTTAGGTTAAATTAGGTTAGGTTAGGTTAGGATAGGTTAGGTTAGGTTAGGTTGTGGAGGGTTAGGTTAGGTTGGGTTGGATAGGTAGGTTGGAAGGTTAGGTTAGGAGGTTAGGTTAGGTTAGGTTGAAGGTTGGGGTTAGGTTAGGATAGGTTGGGTTGTAGGTTGGGTTAGGTTGAGGTTGGGTTGTGGTTGGGTTGGGTTGGGTTGGGTTGGGTTGGGTTAGGTTAGTTAGGTTAGGTTAGGTTAGGTTGGAAGTTAGTTAGGTTAGGTTAGGTTAGGTTGGGTTAGGTCTGGTTGGCTTAGCTTAGATTAGGTTAGGTTAGGTTAGGTTAGGTGACCCAATAGACTGTATAGATAGATGATGTCAGCAAACTTGAGGCAGGAACTGTCGAGCAAGTTTGAAGTTTAATGCTGTACACTGTCTCAAGTTGGTCCTTGGGAGAGGTGAGGAGAGAGAGAGGAGAGAGAAGAGAGAGAGAGAGAGAGAGAGAGAGAGAGAGAGAATTATTGGAACGAGAGAAAGAAAGAGAGAGAAATATAATGGAATGGAGAGAAGTGAAAGAAATGAAATAGAAGGATGTTGAAGGAAGGAGGAGGAGGAGGGAAGAATCCAATAACAGATAATAAAATATAAAAGCAAAGAAAACGAACAAGACCTGAACCGTAAACTGAAGTAAAAAATAAACATGGGTCAGTGTGTTGTGTGTGTGTGTGTGTGTGTGTGTGTGTGTGTGTGGTGGCCGAGTGGATACAGTACATATTCTCTCCCAAGCTCGGTTCAATCCTCGGGCACTCCAGTCCACCCAACTGTAATTGGACCTGACTTTACAGTTGAGAAGGTAAAGGTGGTCGATTACAGTATCCGGATTATCTCTCTCTCTCTCTCTCCCCTTTACTACCTATTTTGTTCCACTTCCCTCCTTCACGCTTTCTCCTATTCCTCCTTCCTCCCTTCCACATTTTTTCCTATCTCCTTCATCTCACTCTCCTCTCTCTCCTCCTCCCTCCCTCCTCACTCACTCTCCTCCTCACCTCCTCTTCCTCCCTCCTCCCTCACTCTCCCTCACCCTCTCCCTCCCCACCTCCTCCCTCCTTCACTCCCCTCACCCTCCCGCCTCCCTCACCTCCTCACCCTCCTCCTCCTCCTCACTCGATCTCTCCTTCCTCCTCACTCTCACCCTCTCCTCCCTCCTCACTCCCCCACCTCTCCGTATCTCCCTCACACTCCATCACACGTAAAAAATTTAATTCCATCCATCTGAATAATTTTACAAAGAGGAGGAGAGTTGCAATAGGGTGCCATAGTGCGCCATATGGTACCACAAGTCATAGTTGCAATAGGTGCAGTGCGCCATATGGTACCAGAGTGCCATAGGCTGCAATAGGTGCCATAGTGGCCATATGGTACCACAGAGTGCCATAGTTGCAATAGGGTGCCATAGTGCGCCATATGGTACCACAGAGTGCCATAGTTGCAATAGGGTGCCATAGTGGCCATATGGTACCACAGATGCCATAGTTGCAATAGGGTGCCATAGTGCGCCATATGGTACCAGAGTGCCATAGTTGCAATAGGGTGCCATAGTGCGCCATATGGTACCACAGAGTGCCATAGTTGCAATAGGGTGCCATAGTGCGCCATATGGTACCACAGAGTGCCATAGGCTGCCATAGTGTACCATAAGATGCCATATAATTGAATAATTCAATAAGTTGCTATAGGTTGCCATAACTTGCCGTAAAGTGCCACAAGATGCTGATACACATCTTGTTTTGGGATGTCACACAGTGCCATAAAGTGCCATTGCCATACGGGTCTGGTGGGAGCGATAGTTAATAATTTTATCGAGTAACAATCACTGACTTTCCGCCCGACACCTGCCATCTTTCCTCCCGACATCTGCCATCTTTCCTCCCGACATCTGCCATCTTTCCGCCCAACACCTGCCATCTTTCCTCCCGACATCTGCCATCTTTCCGCCCAACACCTGCCATCTTTCCGCTCGACTCCTGCCTTCTTTCCAATCAACACCCGTCGTCTTTCCGCCCGACTTCTGCCTTTCCGCTCACAACGATCGGTAGATTTTTCGTTCAACACCCGCTGTCTCTCCGACCGACACTGAACGTTTGATTTTCCGCTCGATATACTGAGTACTTATCCGACCGTCCGTACTTCCGTCCGACTATTTCATATAATAATAATAATAATAATAATAATAATAATAATAATAATAATAATAATAATAATAATAATTTAATCACAACAACAAATACATCAACAAAAACAATAATAATAACAACGATAACAACAAAAGCATTAAAAATATTGCTCCTACATTAATAACCTTTTTTTTTAATATAAGAAACATTACTTACTTCCAAAGACAAAAAAGGCCATTCTCCTCACACGTCAGATATATAATAAAGTTTTGTGGGCGACTTTTGTCCATAACTTTCGACTTGTTCAAAAACTATAAATAAGAGAAAACGGAGGGAGGAAGGAGGGGGTACTGTGGAATATTTGCGTATTATTCATTTATATTGATTAATCTTATCAACCTTTAAGTGGATATAATTCAGTGAAATAAAGGTGTGTCTCGTTTACCTGATACTCTAATAGGGACAGTATGGATGTAGTTCATTATACTGCATGCTAAGTCTTCAGTAGATAGTATGGCCGGCACTGCACTCGACCACCTCAACTTCCTCAATTGTAAAGTCAGGTACAATCAGCAAAAAAAGTATATTTACGATTTTGTGTGAGATAATATAACACAGTGGATGAAGGCTTTTGACAACCCTCCCGAGACAACAGGAGTCACAGTGTTCATTTTGGAATTCATCGACCACCCCTCCGTATAGATACATTTTTGAGCGAGTTATTCTTTTAAAATAAATTAGTAAACCTTCATACTGGAAGCAAGTACTGTACCGCATCTCAAGGTTCAACATCATAATCTTAAAAAAAACGCTGAAATTCACTTTATAAAAGAAAATCGCTACTGAAGGAAGTCTATTTTGATTAATTTGGTATATTATTCTTCTAAGTTGGCAACACGAATGGAAGACCGGGGTAGGAGGGGGTGAACGCGTGTAAAAATGTCGCCAATTGTCCTGTTCTATTTTATGTAAGTTAACTCATTATTTATTCTTGTATATCATATTTTCTTTCTTTCTTTTATACAACTCGACTCATTTTTCATTTTTTTATTCCTTTTTTCTGTCTTTTGTCGCTGGTTTAGAGTTACAAGACGTAGAAGTTTCTTAAAGAGTTACCAGGAAGCGAGACCTTAAGTACTCAGTCAGGAGGGAGGGAGGGAGGGAGGAGAGAGGAGGGACGGAGGGAGGAGGGAGGACGGAGAGGGAGGACAGAGGGAGGGGAGGGAGTCTTTGGGAGGGAGGGAGGGAGGGGGGAGGGAGGGAGGGAGGAGGGAGGGACGGAGGGAGGGAGAAGTGAGAGGAGGGAGGAGGAGACGGAGGAGGGAGGGAGGGACGGAGGGGACAGAGAGGAGGGAGAATGAGAGGAGGAGGAGGAGGAGGAGGAGGACGGAGGGAGGAGGAGGGAGGGGGAGGGAGGGAGGGAGAGGAGGAGGAGGGGGAGGAGGGGGAGGAGGGAGGAGGAGGAGGAAGGGACGGAGGGAGGGAGGGACGGAGGGAGTGGGAGGGAGGGGAGGGAGTGGGAGGAGAGGGGGAGAGGGAGGGAGGGAGGGAGGGGGAGGTATTTTTACATTGTGTTTCAGGTCAAGATGGAGGAGTGTTGTTGTCTTGGTTGGTGGTTAGATGGCGCTAGTTATAGTTAAACCTCCATTTAATTTAATCTATCCATGTCTAACTTAAACTAATTTAGCCTAACCTACAGTAACGTATCCATTCCTAATCAAACTTAATTTAATCTCTCTCTCTCTCTCTCTCTCTCTCTCTCTCTCTCTCAAACACGTACTCACTACCCCTCTCTCATTCTCTCTCTCAACAGAAGTACTCAATGGAGTGTTACCTACGTCAGGAATGGAGTGATGACCGCTTGAGGTTTAACGGGCCCTTGAAGCAACTTACCCTCAACATCAAGATGCTGGAAGCTCTCTGGAAGCCCGACACATACTTCCACAACGGCCTGGGCTCTTACGTTCACATGACCACTCGACCCAACAAACTTATTAGGATCAACCAGAGCGGTGATATCCTCTACTCTATGAGGTGAGGAGCTCTATGAGGTGGGGGCTCTATGAGGTGGGGGGCTCTATGAGGTGAGGGCTCTATGAGGTGAGGGGCTCTATGAAATTGAGGGCTCTATAGTGGGGCTCTATGGTGAGGAGCTCTATGGTGGGGGCTCTATGAGGTGGGGGGCTCTATGGGGTGGGGCTCTATGGGGTGAGGGGCTCCTATGAGGTGAGGAGCTCTATGAGGTGGGGCTCTATGGGGTGGGGGCTCTGGGGTGGGGGCTCTGGGGTGGGGCTCTGGGGTGAGGGCTCTGTGAGGTGGGGCTCCTATGAAGTGGGGGCTCCTGTGGGGTGAGGGGGCTCTATGGTGAGGGCTCTATGAGGTGGGGGCTCTATATGAGGTGAGGGGCTCTGTGGGGTGAGGGGCTCTCTATGAGGTGGGGCTCCTATGAGGTGAGGGGCTCTATGGTGAGGGGCTCTATAAGGTAGAGGCTCCCTCATTATCCCCTTAATACCTCATCCTCTCAATCCTTCCTCCTCCTCATTACCTGCCACCTCCTTCCTATGCCTCCTCTCCTTCCCTTCCCCTCCCCATTCCCTCCTTTCCTCCTCCTCCTCTCCCTCCACACCTCAACCCCACAGGGCGCTCTGATAAGACACCTAGTACTTCCTTCTTTTAAATCCTTAATCCCCCGGCAGGCGTGTGATGTGTGCAGAGAGGAGAGTGAGAACGAAGGAGGAGGGGAGGAGGGAGTAAAGGCCTTCATCCGTGAGAGGAGGCAGAAGTCGAGATGAATGGTGCCATAGTCTCGCTTCCTTCCAGCTATTGATCTCCGTTTGCACCTGTTATCGGAAGCTATATTTAGTTCCTGGTGTGGAGGGGCAATATATGGGTGAAAGTTCTCTCTCTCTCCTCTCTCTCTCTCTCGTTTCCTCACTCTTGTTCTCTTTAACTATTATTATCTCTAACCTCTTTAACATTATTATCTCTAACCCCATTCTACGCAACCCAATCTAACCTAACCTAACCTAACCTAACCTAACCTAACCTAACCTAACCTAACCGAATCAAACCTAACATCCCCACATTATGAATGACAGGATAGTGTTTTTCTCTTTACCTCAACTCTGTCAATTAGACGTCTTATTGTAACTGTCTATGTACTTAACACACTATAATAATTCCTATGTGAAAATTGGTAATGAAAAGTCTGTCAAAAATACAAACTCCCATTTTCTCTCTCTCTCTCTCTCTCTCTCTCTCTCTCTCTCTCTCTCTCTCTCTCTCTCTCTCTCTCTCTCTCTCTGTGTCTTGGCCCCCTGTAGACCACCTAGCGACCACCTGGGAGGAACAATATAACCATCTGACGTGTGGACAGGTGGTTGGTGCCACGCTGTGCCACCTGCCAGCCACAGATGGTTGTAAACAAACATAGGAAACAAGTTTAATTCGACTTTGTTTGCAGACGGCGCGCATATTGGGCCGCATTATCCCGTTTTCTATGAAAGTCGTCGAAGGGGAGACACTAGTACTTGGTAATGTCAATACGCTCTCGTTGAATCTTGAATTGATTAACTAATATACCTTAATTATGACAATTTAATCCACTTTTAATGATTGTAACATACCAATAACACTCAAATACATCAATTCTTTATCAATTCAATTCTCGACAATTAAAGTTTGATATATAAATAGGTAAGATATTCCCACCTAAATAGACAAACTTGAGAATTGGAACCATCGACGGGGGAAAGGAAATAACCCACCAGACATGAAATAGGGGAGATGGACGTGTAGTGACGGGTGTGATCGAACACGTCGCGCCCATTTCCGCTCCTCCCATCACCCACACCTCGCGCCGCGCCTCTTAAAAGAATAAATATATATATAAATAAATAAATAACTCGTAATGGAAGAGAAAAGAGAATTCACCCTTCTAATGGGATCGCCTGAAGATTACCCAACCTAACCTAACCCAACCTTACCTAACCTAATCACATCCAATCTCTCGTCCAAATAGACATTACTCATCGACCAATCACAGACTAAAAGAACTTATCCACCAATCATAAGGCAGCAGAGCATAATCTACAACTCACCCACCAATCACAGTCCAATAAAACATCACCTGCAATTCACCCACCAATCACAGGCTAGTAAAACATCACCTGCAACCCACCAACCAATCACAGACCAGCAAGACGTAAACATTGAGAGAGGGACGGCTGTATGGGGCGGCTGGGACGGCTGTATGGGGCGGCTGGGACGGCTGTATGGAACGGCTGGGACGGCTGTGTATAGATCAGAACACAAGTCCCCGCCAGCACCATCTTAATACACGCTACATTAGGTGTTCCACGACGATGCCTTTGTTGTTATGGCAGAGAGGCGGGGATAGGTACTAGACTCGTTGACGCTGGTGTCATTAGCCGAAAGGATGGCGGTAATGGCTGGAGCTAAGTGGAGGAGGAGGAGGGTGAGGGAAGAGGGTGAGGGAAGAGGGTGAGGGAAGAGGGTGAGGGAAGAGGAGGACCGTCTCGTGTGCTAATTGTCGGACCGAGATGTGGACTCGGTTAAGGATGGAGGTATTCTCTCTCTCTCTCTCTCTCTCTCTGTCAAAGAAAACTATAGAATAAATAAAGTGAGTGAGAGAAACACGAATAATAGGGAGATGGGGACTGGCGAAAATGTGAATAGGAAGAAGGGAGAGTGTGAATGAGAGGGGTGAGAGAAAGAGAGATTGACAGAGAGACAGACATATAGACAGAATGAATGACTCTAATCTTTATTTTCTCTCCTTGTTCCTCCCTCTCCTCTTTTTCTCTTTCTCTCTCCCAACATCATACCTAGGTTTCCTCTTTAGCCTTCCCTGTTCCCTCCCTTCCCCTACCCTTCCCTCCCTCCCTCTCTCCCTCCCTCTACAATGACGAGCCAAGCAGCACGGAATTAAGATTTATTGAGGCTTTAAAAATGCCAGAATTTTTGTTCCCATAAATTCCAATAAATTCTCCTTTTCTTTCATAAATTAGGAACCATATTGGAGTATTTGTCACTCTTGGAGGGTTGATTGTGTTCACCTTGTTTTGTTTTGCTGTGATTGATTACTTGCTTAAACAACTAAGGTCTTTATGTACGTGAAGTAAGGAAGACCATGATATTTACTCTCTATCTATCTATCTGGAAAAGATGAATCTGATCGACTTGAAAATAAGGAAGAAATAACTGGGGAAAAAATGGCAGATCTAAAGTGACAGTCATAGACGATTTAAAAAAAAGGGTGGGGGGGGGGTAGAATCAACATTACAAAACCTCAATAAGTAAATAAACCCGAAAGATAAACAAGACTATAGAGAATACAAACACGGAAAAACACCCCCACAAAAAACCCTCGAAAAACACCCGCGAAAAACACAGCCTCGACTCCTAGATAAACAAAACACGGAGGCAGAGAAATCAGCTGTTTACATATGACTGGCGGGCGTCTCTCTCGGTCAGTGTGTCGCGTGAAGGCCCCACTGTACCTCTGTCACTATAGTCTCCACCCTTGGTTATGGTTCCCATAGAGCAGCACATTGTAGTCTTTTGTGTGGGCGGCTCACGGCACCCACAAAAGGACTGATGGATACGTACAATGCACAATACATCTCCTGGAGGGTTACTTTTTTTTTTTTTTGAGAGAGAGAGAGTAACAGTGAGAGAAAGAGTAGCAGAGTGAGAGAGAGAGAGAGTAACTGTGAGGGAAAGCTAACAGAGTGAGAGAAAGTAAAGGAGAAAGTAACAGAAATAAAAGAAAAAATAATCTGGCTTTAAGGTTTATGAATAAAATAAAATATCATCGTCATTTTTATTTACACGGGGAGTGTCAGTAACCATTATAGTCACTGTACACCTTCCCTCTTTCCTTCCTTCCCTTCCTTTCCTCTTCTCTTACCTCCATTTTTTTCCTCTTTCCTACCCTCCCTCCCTCTCTCATTTTACTTACTCCTTCCTTCAGTACCTTTCCTCCCTATCTTTCTCCCACTCTTCCTCACTCTCTACTTTCTTATCTACTCCCTTCTCTCTCTTCCCTTCCCACTCTTCCCTTTCCTTCTTCCCTCTTCCCTCTTCATACGAACGAAAACAATGTCTAGTCTTGTTTATGTCTCGGCAGAATTCATCACACTAACTGTCCCGCCTAAACATCTCCTCCAATCAAAACATACTTGTTGGCTTTTCCTCCACTCCAATAGGCTGCTGGGCTACACTTGTTAGAAATCCAACCACAGACAGAACGTAAATAGAAGCCTAAACCGTCGAATATCCACGTTCGGGAGTGACAAATCTAGATTAATGCGGATTTAGAACCTCGTTATCTAATATACTATAGGAACAGCCGTGTGTCTGTCTGTCTGTTCTGGGCAGCCGAAACGGCACAATCGTTTTTCATCAAACTTGCTGGAAAAATCGCAAAAAATTCGTAGAGTGAAACAAACCTGGTCCCATGTCGATGGTTTCTTTAGGAAGGCATTAATTAACCATTTTATTTACGATGGAAAACGATGCAAGTCTACGGACTTGGCGCACCCTCATTCGCTGTAGCTAGCCAAGCACAAGCGTTCAAACTTTCACAAGGGCACAAAGGGCCCGCGATCACTTGTTTTTCACTATAAACAAACTAATGGGAACATATACAACAAACTTCAACTTGAATCGTCTGTCTCAGGGACGGAAATTTTTTTTACAAAACAAAGGAAAATCAAGAGTAGAGAAATAACGTTTTACAGAATGATGTTAGTGATTGATGGTAAACTTATTGTGTGTGTGTGTTGATCGTGACCAGGAATACAATAGGTTCTCTTTTGACCATGATGTAGTTTTCTTGTAGTCTTCAAATATCTATCTATCTATCTATCTATCTATCTATCTATTATTATTATTATTATTATTATTATTATTATTATTATTATTATCGTATACTCATTCACTCCCTTCACCCTCCACACTCTCCCTCCCCTAGACAACCACCCCTCCCCTTCCCTTCCCTACACACCCATCCCTCTACTCCCTCTCCCACATCACCCAGCCTCCCCTACCCATTCCTCTGTACCCAGCCTCTGCATCGTAATAATATTTGGCACTAAGGTGGGTAGGTGCCTAGGTGCACCCCACCCCCCAGTTGGCACTTGTCACGAGCCAGCTGTAATGTGAGTTCTGTGTTGGTGACGTCCGCTGCCCGCATGTTAAGTTCCGGATGTTGGAGACTTACTACAGTGTTGGAGAGTTACCACAGTGTTGGAGACGACTGATGCTGGCCTGTCTCTCTCTCTCTCTCTCTCTCTCTCTCTCTCTCTCTCTCTCTCTCTCTCTCTCTCTCTTCACTCTTCTCAAACTTTCAACCACAACCACAATCATAGTCACTCCATTAATTACTTATAAACCCAGATGTCCTCAAGTCTCCCTTCAGATCCCATTAACTCTTATGTGTTAATGGAAGGAGTGGGGTGTGTGTAGGGGAGGAGGAGGGTGTGTGGGGAAGGAGGAGGGGTGTGTGGGGAAGGAGGAGGGTGTGTAGGGGAGGGCGTGTAGGGGAGGGAGGAGGAGCGTGTACGTACCCTTCATCTTATTTCCTCCACACACTCCTCCCCCACCTTCTCTCTCCACACACACACTCACCCCTCACCCCTCTCCCACACACTCCTCCCCACCTTCTCTCTCCTCACACACACTCACCCTCCTTCCCACACACACACACACACACACTCACCCCTCACCCTCTCTCCCACACACTCACTCCCCACCTTCTCTCTCTCACACACACTCACCCTCCTTCCCACACACACACACACCCCTCACCCTCTCCCACACACTCACCCTCTTTCCTCCACACACACACACACACTCACCCTTCTACTAATATGACTTCTACTGTGTATGAACCTCTGTCCTACGTGGCAGTATACAGTGATACCACCCTCAGTGTCAAGACCTGACTGAATTACTCATAAGAGACAAACTTTACTCCAAGCTTAACCAATAAATTTGTTAAACTTCACTAACTCTCCTCAGGCTGACTATCAAGGCCAAGTGTCCCATGGAGCTGAGGAACTTCCCCATGGACAAGCAGTCGTGTCCCCTCGTCATCAGCAGCTGTGAGTCTCTCCCCTCTTATGGTTGTCATGGTAACACCAGTAAAAGATAAGTTATGGTTGTCATGGTAATAATATCTTGTGGTCATCTATAATACATTTAATTAATCCATCCATTAAGTCTTCCTACTAAGCCAGCCCATTAAGCCAGGTCTCTCCCATAGACGGGTACACGGAGAAGGACGTCAAGTTCGTGTGGGACAAGAAACTGGTGAGCTTCGTGCCTGGCTTGGCGTTGAGTCAGTTCGAGATCCTCAATACCAAGTGTAGCAACTACTCCGTGAGGTGGCGAGCCGGCCGGGGTGAGTGTAGGGGTGTGTAGTAGCCACCCGAGGGGATGTGTAGAGGTGTAGGTGGATGAGGGTGAGTCCTGGGTGTAAAGGTGTAGATGTATAACCAGGTGTAGTCAGGTGTAGCTTGATGAAAAGGCTTGAACGTGTAATCAACGTGAGTATTAGGTGTAGAGTGTAGAGGTGTAGCCAAATATGTTCCTGTGTGTAGAGGTGTAACTAATCTACATAATTCCTGCATATAGGTGTAGAATATACAGAGTGTAGCCATGTATATCGGGGTGTATTGGGTGTAGCCATGTACCTAAACTCCTCTTAAGTGTTCTCGTGTGTAGAGGTGTAAGCCAGAGACACCCTCCATTACACCCAACACTTACACACCCTGGCCTGAGATGGAGGGTCTGACCCGTAATGACATCATCTACAGGAGTCTTTTAAGGTAATGACATCATCTACAGGAGTCTTTTAAGTTAATGACATCATCTACAGGAGTCTTTTAAGTTTATGACGTCATCTACAGGAGTCTTTTAAGTTAATGACGTCATTACAGTATTTAAGTTAATGACATCATCTACAGGAGTCTTTTAAGGTAATGACATCATCTACAGGAGTCTTTTAAGTTAATGACATCATCTACAGGAGTCTTTTAAGTTTATGACGTCATCTACAGGAGTCTTATGATGTCACCAGGATGATATTTTAAGTATTTTTCTAAATATTTCAAGTCATCGTTCCTCAAAATCTAATCTAGTCAACAACCTGTATGTCCTGAGAGGTGGGCGTGAGTGGGCGTGAGTGGGATTGAATGGTCATGAGTGGGTTTGAGTGGGTTTGAGTGGGCGTGAGTGGGATTTAATGGTCATGAGTGGGTTTTAGTGGGTTTGAGTGGGTGTAGATGTGGGGAGGACAACAGTGTGGAATGTCAATGTGAAAATGAACCCCACCTTCCCTCCCCCCTTCTCCATCACTTCTCTTCCCCTTCCTTTCCCCTCCCATTACCTTCCATATGTATCACTTCCCCTTCCTCACTTCCCATTTCTATAACATCAAATAATTCTTCAATCATTCATCCTCCTCTCCCCCCTCTCCTCCCCCCCCCCTCTCCCCCCTCTCCCCTCCTTTTCCTAGTCATCCCTTTCATTTCTTTATATCTCTTCCCCTTTTATTATCCTCATTTTCTCCCCTCCCTTATATTCTCCTCTCCCTCTTCCTCTCCCTTTTCTCCCTTGCCTTTAAATTACTATCCAGCCATCCACCATAATCACTAACATTTCTCTATATTTATTTTGACATGAAAAATATTCTTCGGGGGACCGCCATTTGTAATTGATACTCTACGTCACTTCCGGAGGCGATGGTGATTGGCTAAGCACCGTGTTTACAAGTGAGGAGGGCCACTTAGAATGTATCTTTTTTTGTCAGCTACATCGTGATTGGCTGAGCATCGTGTTTACTAGTGAGGGGGCCACTCAGAAGGTATTTTTTTTGTCAGCTATATTGTGATTGGCTGGTTTTTTTTATGTAACTGGACGCCATTAATCAAGCATTTTTGCATGTTTACATATAGGGGTCCACCCATAATAATAATAATAATAATAATAATAATAATAATAATAATAATTAACGGTTTATTGAAAGAGCTTGGCAGCCAAAAGGCTGAAAATATACAGTTACATATTTGGGGTGGGTTTCGAATCTAAAATAATACAAGTAACATAAAGTGATACAAATAAGATATATAATAACTAGATGGGGAAAAGCTCCAAACTACAGTTCATTTCAACACTAGTGACAGTGCAAGGGTAGTGTTTACTGGGAATTGAATACACTGGTTTATTACAAGTTATTGATAATTTTTACAATGGTTGGGACTGGGCTGTTCTTACATAGCGATCAGTTCGTGCACGTATGGGCTGGATGGTTGTGGTGTCGAACAGCAATTCTCGGGCTAAGTCTCAGGTGGTAGTAGGGCCGGTGTCGAGGATGGTGTAGAAGCTTCTTACCAAGTTGCAGATGAGGTCGTGGTGATGGTCAGTGAGAGTCAGAAAGGGTCAGTGTGTTGAGCCTTCTTGATATGGAGTAGGAAGGGGAGAATAATCTTGCATGCCCTCTTTTGCACTTTTTCTAGGTGTTTACGTTGTGTGGCATTTAGGTAGGAAGACCAGGTGGGGGAGGCATAGGTGAGCTTGGGAAGTATGAATGTTGAGTAAACACTGAGGAGCTCGGGTGCAGGAACTCCGAGGGACTTGAGTCGGCGGAGGAGGTGGAGACGGAAACTGGAGGATTTGACAACTTCACTAACGTGTGGTTTCCAATTTAGTTTGTTGTCTATGGTGACGCAGAGTGCTTTATCATGTGTGGTAATATTACAACCTAAAACAACCTATCACAACTCTTCCACAAACCCCCACAGCCCATATAACCGCTCCGCAACCTCCCCACAACCCACCACAACCTATCACAACTTTTCAACACCCATCATTTCCCACCACAACCCCTCACAACACCTCACAACCCACCACAACCCTTCCACAACATTCCAAAGCCCCCAACAATCTCCTTACAAACCTTCACAACCCCTCGGGACCTCCTACAACCCGTCACAACCCCTCGGGACCTCAATCCGTCACAACCCCTCAGGACCTCCTACAACCCGTCACAACCCCTCAGGACCTCCTACAACCCGTCACAACCCCTCAGGACCTCCTACAACCCGTCACAACCCCTCGGGACCTCATACAACCCGTCACAACCCCTCGAGACCTCCTACAACCCGTCACAACCCCTCGAGACCTCCTACAACCCGTCACAACCCCTCAGGACCTCCTACAACCCGTCACAACCCCTCAGGACCTCCTACAACCCGTCACAACCCCTCAGGACCTCTTACAGCCCGTCACAACCCCTCAGGATCCCTAATAACCCCTCACAGACCTCCACAACCCCCCGTCAAGGCGTCATTACTAAACCAATGTTTACCATACGATGATTAATGTATAGACTCTACCTACCAGGGAGTCGATTAGTTCTCCTCCTGGCCCGAGACCTTCAAAGATTCGTAAAATTCTCAGAGATTCGTAAGATTCGTGGGATTTACAGTGATTCGTTATTCTCAGATACCCATAAAACTAAGACGTTCGAAAAATTCAAGTCTTTATTAGCGTCTTAATGATTAGTGAGATTTACAAATAATTCGTCAGTATCAAATATTCTAATATATTAAATATATTGAGGTATTTAGACCTGTTTACATGTCCTGATATATGGAAAAGATACGTAAAACAAAGAGAGATCAGACGAAAACAGCGGAACGCCATCATGGAAAACCTGACTTGACTGTTACACTTTAGAAGGATAACTTAACAAAATGCCACCACCAATAACACCCGTAGCCTTCCCACGTTTCTATTACTACTCTTTCAAAACCTTGCCTTCCCGGTGACATAGAGTGGATACAAAAGACTCATACATGTAAAAAAAAATATCTGATTCAAGTGTTGGTCATTTGAGAGTGAAGGGAGTAACATATAGACGATATTATGTTGACTTAACCCGACATCGATCGTTGAAGTGGTCATATCAGGGACTTCAAAGACGAGTACTTTTAAAGAAGTATTTATTTATTGGGTTCATGGTGGTGTATATAGGACGAAAATAACTAACTTCTGGCCTTTGAATACGATGACCTAACCTATTGTGTACGATGACCTGACACCCCCTTGAGTACAATGACTTAACCCCTTGAGTACAATGACTTAACCCCTGGAATACTATAACCTGGCCCTATAACTACCACCAATATCAGGTCTCGGCCACATATAAACTGTCACTAGTCTCCCCCACTACACGTTGCCTCCTCACACACACGAACTGACTATAAAAATTAATCAAATTTCGGGAAATGTGACAAGAAACACGTAAGTATAATTAAAAGGTCTTAGAAGTCAGAAGCACCGTATATTCATGTTATGTGTCTATTACTGTTAAATGAATGATATTTGGTGATATTTAACACCACCTAATACCACTTAACACCCCCTACCACCACCTAACACCACCCTACCACCCTCTAACACCCCCTACCACCACTTAACACCCCCTACCACCACCTAACACCACCCTACCACCCTCTAACACCCCCTACCACCCTCTAACACCCCCTACCACTATTTCCCCCCTACCACCACTTAACACCCCTACCACCACCCTAACACCACCCTACCACCCTCTAACACCCCTACCACCCACCCTAACACCCCTACCACCACCCTAACACCACCCCTACCACCCTCTAACACCCCCTACACCACCACCTAACACCACCCTACCACCCTCTAACACACCACCCTACCACCCTCTAACACCCCCTACCACCACCTAACACCACCCTACCACCCACTAACACCCCCTACCACCACCTAACACCCCCTATCTCTCTCCAGGCATGTACTCAGCGCTAAGGGTAAACTTCAACCTGTCGCGGAGTGCTGGGTATTTTCTCATCCAGGTTTACATTCCCTGCATCCTGATCGTGGTGCTGAGTTGGGTCTCCTTCTGGATTAACCGGGAAGCTACCAGCGACCGTGTGGGCCTAGGTGAGTGTTAAGGTGTGGGGGGGGGTGTTCCTCTTCCTTCTTCATTCTACCCAATTCTCCTTCTTTTTTACTTCATGTTCCTCCTTCCTCCTCCTCCTTCCTTCTCCTCCTTCCTCCTCCTCCTTCCTTCTCCTCCTTCCTTCTCCTCCTTCCTTCTCCTCCTTCCTTCTCCTCCTTCCTTCTCCTCCTTCCTCCTCCTCCTTCTCCATCCTGCCAGAGAAACGAAACACAGATTAGAGAAAGAAAACGGAAGCCTCCTACTGAGATGTTCCTCTACTCAGGACAGATTGTGGGAAGGATTAGATCGAATCCTTCAGTACTGGGGAGGATTAGAGGCTTACCTGGGGAGATCCTGTTGTTTACGTCTGTTTCCTTCTGTTTACGTCTGTTTCCTTCTGTTTACGTCTGTTTGGGTTATAGGTTAGATTAGGTTAGGTTAAGTAAGGTTAGGTTAATTAAGGTAAGGTTAAGTTAATTAAGGTGAGGTTAGGTTAATTAAGGTAAAGTTGGGTTAATTAAGGTAAGGTTAGGTTAATTAAGGTAAGGTTAGGTTAATTAAGGTAAGGTTAGGTTAATTAAGTTAAGGTTAGGTTAATTAAGATGAGGTTAAATTGGGTGTCTCTCATTATATCTTCTCTTATCTCTCATTCCTTGTGTCTCTCAGTCCTCCAATCTCTCTCGATCATTATCTCTCACTGGTGGCTACAGTAACTCCTCACAAAGCTGCCCAGCAACACCCGATGGTCTCTTACTGCATGAAGATCAGGAGGAGGCTGCAAGGGGGTTATTTTCTCCTTTGGTGTTTTGGTCTTCCTTCTCTTACTCCACTTCTTCATCTTCTTCCCTCTCTTCCCCCTTCTCCTCCTACTCTTCTTCTTCCTCTTCCCCTCCTCCTCCACCTCCTTACCACCCATCACTCCCACAACTCATCACCACCACCTCCTCCTCCTTCTCCACCAGTCATCATCACCATCTTCTCCACCAGTCATCATCACCACCACCTCCTCCTTCTCCACCAGTCATCGCCACCACCTTCTCCACCAGTCATAATCACCACCTCCTCCTTCTCCACCAGTCATCATCACCACCACCTCCTCCTTCTCCGCACCAGTCATCGCCACCACCTTCTCCACCAGTCATCATCACCACCACCTCCTCCTTCTCCACCAGTCATCGCCACCACCTTCTCCACCAGTCATCATCACCACCACCTCCTCCTTCTCCAACAGGCATCACCACCGTGCTGACACTCTCCACCATTAGCCTGGACACCCGCACGGACCTTCCTAAAGTTCACTACGCCACGGCTCTCGACTGGTTTATCCTCATGAGTTTCGGCTACTGTATCGCGACCCTTCTGCAGTTCGCCGGCGTCCATTTCTTCACTAGGTATTCTGAGTGTGGGGGGAGGGAGGAGGCAGGGAGGGAGGGAGCAGGGGAGGGGGAGGGAGGGAGGGAGGCAGGGAGGGAGGGAGGGAGGGAGGCAGGGAGGAAGGGAGGGAGGGAGGCAGAGGGAGGGAGGGGAGGAGGAGGGAGGGAGGGGATTTTTTTTGTTTGGTTAGTTGATTGACTCTCTCTATCTCTCTCTCTCTCTCTCTCTCTCTCTCTCTCTCTCTCTCTCTCTCTCTCTCTCTCTCTCTCTCTCCTCCTCTTCCCTTCTCTCTCTCCCCTTCCCTCTCCCTCTCTTCTCGTCCTCCCCCTTCTCCTCCTCCTCCTTACTTATCACTTACACTGTGTCATCACCACGGGGTCATTAATTAACTAACTAATGGTCCCTTATGGGTAAATTTGCTTAATATCTTCCTAATTGCTCTTGAATTAATTGACCTTAAGGGAGGGAAGGGGACTCATCAGGGGGTTATGTTAGGGTTGTATTAGGGGTTTATGTTAAGGAGTTCTATTTTGGGGTTATATTAATGAGAGAGAGTATTTCGCAAGAGGTAAAGGAGGGAGGGGGTAGGGAGGGAGGGAGGGGGGGAGGGGGATAAATGACAGGAATTTCGTATGAATGGTAAAGGTGGGGGGGGGTTGAGGAAGGGGGTGGGGGGAGGTGAGGGAGATGGTTGTGTTGTGATGAGGGACTGGGTGGTAGGGGGGAAGGGGAGAGGTAGGAGGGGAGGGGCTCAGGTAAGCCATACAGGTAGGCACGAAGGTAAGAATTGGTGGGTTAGATGAGGGAAAGGGGTAGGGAGATGCCAACCTCACACCTGCCCTTGATTAATGTACCATTCACACACACACATACACACACACACACATACACACACACCATCTGTTTACTGCTGAGTACATTACGTTTGCAAAGCTGTGCAAATAAACGCAGCAATTGATTTTATTGACCACATACATACAGTACATACATACATACATACAGTACATACATACATACATACATGCATACATACATACATACAGTACATACATACATACATACATACAGTACATACATACATACATACATACATACATACATACAGTGCATACATACATACATACATGCATACATACATACATGCATGCATACATACATACATACATACATACATACATGCATACAGGTAACCAAAGCGACCAAAAAAAATATTTCCCAGCAGCACCGTAAAGTAGCCCTCCCTCCCTCCCTCCCTCCCTCCCTCCCTCCCTCTCTTCCTCCCTCATTCCTTCCCTGCTCCATCCTTTCCTCCCTCCCCTCCTCCCCCCTTCCTCCTTCCTTCCTCCTTCCTTCCTTCCCTCCCTCCTTCCTTCCTTCCCTCCCTCCCTCCCCCTCCCTCCCTCCCTCCTCCCTCCATTCCTTCCAGCTCCATCCTTCCTCCCTCCTCCTCCCTTCCTCCTTCCTTCCTCCTCCTCCCCCCTCCTCCTCTCCTTCCACATCCTCATAAGTAATAAATTCATCTTTTAAATCACTCATAAAAATCTTAACTTTACTGCTTAATTAACTAACACACCTGTAAAGGGATCCCACACCTGGTTCACTTAATGGTCTTGGTCTATATATGACTTCCTTCACATATATGTTATAATGAAATACATATTTGTGCATATTTTTCCTCCTCTTCACCTGACTTAAACCTCCCTTCTTCCTCCTCCTCCTCCTCCTCCTCCTCCTCCTCCTAACCATCTCCCCTCTTTCACTATCTCCAAGGTGGGTTCGGGGGAGATCATGGCTGAGGAGGACGAGTGGGAGGACGTGGAGATCGTGAACGACTGCTGTGACCTCGGTGACCTCCAGGAACACGTACAGAGTCAAGACACCTCCTACGACACCTCCCTGGAGACCTCGCTAGATGGACGGCGTGAGATCGTCTTTCTCAACCTCAGTCATAACAAGTGTCCCAGAGGCGCGGCCACACTTTACGCTACGCTCCACTCTGTAAGTTCTTTGCGAGGGGGCGGAGGTAAATTAAGGTCCTAGAGGATTTAAAGGGATTCCTATGGGTTTTAGGACTCCCAAAGGACATTTTAGGATACGTTTCTATTATGAATTAATCCTTCCTGCCAATAGTTAAGGTCCTAGGTGCTTCAAAAGGACTTCTATGGGTCCCTAAACTCTCCATAAATCTGTAATGATGATCTCGACAGAACAATTTTTCCTGTTCTTAAAATATCTGATAATTATATTTTCTTAAAGTAAAGATAATATTTAATTCATAATTTCTCTCTGTTATTAGTTTCATGTATAATATATCTCGTTTATTTCCCTTTAATTACATATGTAACTGAACTGTGACATATATTACCAATAATTTTCTTTTTCTTTACTATTACGTTAATAAAAGTAAACAATTATTAATTATTTGATGCGACTCTTATCTAAAGCAACTAATATAAGCCACAATTAATTCCTTTTATACCATGATAACTACGGTACATAACTGACAAGGGTCCTCACTCCCGCCCTACAGGATGCCGGCGTCATGAACCACGCCGGGGACAGTCTCTCAGCCACCTTCAAGAGCACAGAGACGCAGACAGAGAAGAAAGAGCGGTGCTGGACCCAATGTTACCACTGTGTACTTGGTGAGTGCTGGTGAAGGTATACAATGTTGCTACTGTAGGCTTCTGCTTCCCTCCCACCCTCCCTGTCTCCCTCCTACCCTCCTTCCCTCCCACACTCACTCATCACCTTTCCCCACCTACAGGAGACGAGGAGTACCGCAGGGATCGACAGAAGACAGCGGGCCTCCAGCGAACCATGAACTCCGTCTCCGTCATCGACACCGTCAGTAGAATCATGTTCCCCCTCTCCTACGGGCTCCTTAACCTCTGGTACTGGCTCTCTTACTACGACACAGAGCTGGTCTTTAACTGGACTGACCCGGGCTTTGATGATATAGGGATTGGTCTGCAGACAAAGAATCCCATAGGTGGTGTTGAGAGGAAACAAGGGTAGTGAGGAGGAGAAGGAGGAGGAGACAGAGAGAGAGAGAGAGCAGTGAAGAGAAAGAGAGATAGGGAGAGGGAGGTAAAGAGAAGAGATATAGAGTTCAGTGAAGAGGAGAAGAGAGAAATAGAAAAGATAGAGAGAGAATGGGAGAGTAAAGAGAAGACGAGAGACAAGATAAAGAGAGAAAAAAGAAAGATAGGTGAAAATATATAGATAAAACGAACATAGTAGATAACAACAGAGAGAAGAAAGAAACAGCAAAGAAGAGAAGAAAAAGTGGTGAATAAGAGACAAAGGTAAATGAAGAAAAGGAGACAGAAGATAATAAAGACAAGATGATGAAGAAGGAGATAGAGGAAGAGAGACAAAGAAGAAATGACATAGGGAGGAGGAGACAGTGACGATAAACAGTAGACAGTGAATGAAACGATAACAGAAAATGGGAAAAAAATCACTATCTATTTTCCTATTTAAATATAACCCATTAAAATGCCCTATTTACCGATCATAGGAAATAATATCTAACTAATTGGTAATAATACACAAAAAATAAATTAATTATAATCTCATCATAAAAAAAATTGTCCATGAATGCAAAAAAAATTCCACCAATTTTATATACTGTAAAAAAATTCCCCTCATGAAGAATCCTCCCCTATTTAAGAATGCAAGAGACGTATCGCCTATTTTGAAACACTGTTAAATATCTCCCCTATTTAGAAATATAGAATGATATTCCCATTTAAAAATCGCTGTCAAATTTATTATGAAATACAGTATTAAAAAAAAATCTTCCTAATTTAAATGCTATAAAATTTCCCCAATTTCAAAACAAAGAAAACATTTTCCCTATTCAAAATCACACTCAATTTTCCCTATTTAAAAAATAAAAACAATATGAAATAGATCCGTTAATTTAGCAATACAAGAAAAATTACTTGCCTTTATTTAGCAACATCAGGTTTTGAATTGAAGATTATTAAACCAATATATAACCCGGAGATATTAATATTATTGGGATTAACACAAAGTAACAATTTATATCAAAACCTTCCATAGTAAATTAAATCTATAAAGCTTATTCACTTTAATACAGTGAAATACCCCGGAGCTTAATGACTAACAGGGTCTTATATGTATACTATAAATGTGATAAAGTTGTTGTAAATATACATATATACATAATGTTAGTGAAGTATCTATGTAAACAAGTACTAGAGGTTATTGTACAGTGAATAATATATTAGTCAGTAGTTTTACACATAATATAATTTGTCAACAGAATAATTAACACTTGAGTTTTCCCATTTAACATATAATAATCTAACAGCTCTCAATGATTCACATGTTAAATTGTCCTCCTAAAGTATTGATGTAAACGGTATATATTCATTTATAATTTTACAGTAGAGTCTCAGCTGTTTTTGACAACCAATTTCGTTTTCTAAAGTTAGTTCATATTACTCAACTCTCGGTATGGGATTTTAACATACAATTATTTGAAGAGGGTGAAATGGCGGGCAAGTCTGGTCAAAAGTTCGTTCCCCGTCGTGAAACTGAGTCTCCAAACTGACTTACCTGACTGTTTCATCTCATTTTTGGGGTCGATGCTGTTTCATTTTGGACTGGATCGAAATTCTGACCCTGACTGTACCTTCTTCATATTCGTCTATCAAATAATTTTTAATACATATTGACTAATTATTATTTTTTTTTAATTTTTGACAAGATTATAAAATGTATTGAAGGTCTTTATATATTATTGTTTATTATTATTCCAAGTTGAAGAATGTGTGAATCAATTGTCATTTTATTGGGTGTTCGAGATTTATTAAGAGTTTGTGTGAATGATCGTTTATCACCACCCATTCTATCTATACTTCCAAGTGTTATCGTCCAATCCATCATTCAGTCTCACCTTCACACTTTGGTAATGTATTTTCAACTAATTTGTATTCATATTTATCAACCAATCTGCATTTTTTCAGCTATTTCTATGTAATTCATGAGTTACGACTTGAGGCAATTATACAAACAGAAAATAAGTCACAATTATTGATTATACTCTGAGGAATTATTTCTGAATGAATATAATCCTCAGTAATTGATGGGTTGGTGTAATTATTAACCTTCTAACGCTTTTGAAGACATCAGTAGTTGAGGGGCAGTAATAACCTTAGCTGTTCCCATCAGCCACAAGGTCACCAGGAGGTCAAACCCCAGCGAGCTTATCCACATCACCTGACAATAACAAATGACGTCACTGATGTTCCTGACTTAACCTAATGTAACTAAACCTAACGTAACCCAATTTTCTCACACTTATTATCTCAGTTTATTCTCTCTCTCTCTCTCTCTCTCTCTCTCTCTCTCTCTCTCTATCTATCTATTTCTTTTCATAATCTATCATTTGATTCTATTCATTCCTATTACTGTACCAATTTTCTCACCGTTACCTGTTGTTAACTGCTGTACGAATCATCTCACCTGTATGTATTCATAATTACTGTATTACTCACCTCACCAATAACTACCTATCACTATACTAATGTATTCACTTGTACTGTACCTATTACTAATTACAATTATATTGTACTCAAGAAACTGATACCATTATTGTATAACTTGTGGAATAAATCTGTACCATTGTATTCTCTTCATCGCTGTATAATTAACCTATAACACGTAATACTACATAAATTATAACACTGACATCCTACTGTAGAAGTTTAAAACACGAGAGCACTGTATATTTCGACCGTTAATTATTATTTATTGTTTTGAGCAAAATTCTGTACATCTACATAAGTTTACCATAAAATAGTAATGACCGTTTTCTCTCACTCATACACATTTTCTTTGATCGGACACCAAAACAAAATATCAGACAGCATCTTGGTTGCTCGAGTATTTCGTGTTTTTGCGTGTTTGGTGTTATTGTGGCGTTCCTAGTGGCATTTATGGTGCTAAAGGTATGACTGCTGGTGCAGGAGTGTTCAATAACCATCTGTGTAAAGTGCAGTGACCGTATTTATATGTTAGTGATTGGAATTGAGCGAGAGTCTTTACAAGTTTTTGTCTTGACTCATTACCGGTGAAGTTAGCTACATATATCCATCTAGCTTGGGAACGCATGACCTTTATGTATAGAGTAATTTGAGGTCAAAATTTGCTTCTCCTTGCCAGTTGTTGACAATCGTGCCCAGGTGTCCCAGACCACTACATTGAACGAGCTAACCACCACTGACTTCCTCAAACTCTCCTTACATGTGGACCAAACTCTTGTTAGGCGATACAGTCAGTGATTATACGAATGATTAATGGAAATAATAACGTTTTATTTAGAGTACAGTAAATAAAGGCCGAAAATATTTATAAGACATAGTGGCAAATACTGTAATGTTATGGGACGAAGGGTCATTTAAATAAAAGCTTTTAGTGTAGATACAACATAAGGATAAGAAAAAGCAAGGAATGAATGCCCACGTTATCTACGTGTTATTGATAATCTTCAGAAGGGTTAGACTGTTGCTGTACTCGTAACACTGTGATGTCAGCAAGAAGTGGACGAGGAGCTTCAGGTGGCAGAAGGTGGAGGTGCCGTGGATAGTGTAGCAGCTGCGTCATATACTGTAAGTATACCTGTGTGTTGGAGGTGGTGGTGTCTTGTAGGTGTAGCAGGTAGTGTACGGCTCCCCGCCTCCCAGGCACATGGTCTGACCTTACCTGACACCTTTATTTACCCTGCTTCTCAACCAATCAAGAACTGGGACCTATTAGGGCTGAAATCTAGTCGACTGGGGCCTATTAGACTGGGGCCAATGATGACTAGGAACTGTAAACGGGGACCTATAAGGAGTGGGGCCTATTAGACCTGTTGCCTATTAGAATGGGGCCGATTAGATTGGGGCCTTTTAAACCTGGGGCCTATTAGACTGGAACCTATTAAACCTGGGGCCTATTAGACTGGAACCTATTAAACCTGGGACCTATTAGACTGGAACCTATTAAACCTGGGGCCTATTAGACTGGAACCTATTAAACCTGGAGCCTACAAGGACTGCGAACTATTAAGATAGCATTGAGTGTATAAGGATTGAGCGCTTCCTAATCTCTAATTATTAACCACAGACTGATAGACACAAAGACAGACAGACAGACAGATGAATAGGCTGATAGAGAAACAGACAACAGGTAGATAAATATACAACTCTACACATCATGGTAAACATCGTAATGCTTATAAACACACAAACATCGACCTTAAGTAAACATTAACAAACATCTAAGGAGACATAACGCATAGATAAACTTTGATAAAAATAATAAATCTTGACAAAAAAATAGGAGAATAAAATAGAAAATCAAAAATCGTTATATGTAGATGGATAGATGGATAGTAGAAGTTGAATGAGTGGGTGGATAATGGATAGATAGATGGACCGTTCGATGTATAGATGGATGAATGATTGGGAGGATAAATGGTTTAATGACCGATTGAGTAGATGTCTGGATGAGTGAATGGATAGATAGGTGGATGGATGACTGAATGGGTAGATGGATTGATGACTAAATAGATAGATGGCTGTGTAGATTAAAATAGTTTCACACCTAATCGATATTTTATACTAGTTATACTTACATATATAATTCAATTAATAATATATCCTTTGCCATATTAGTTATAGTGAGAATTAATTTGTTATTGGGGATAGATGGCTCTGACTGCTGAGGAAGTAAAGTTAGAATAATTACAGGATTTTCTTAGCTGGGAAGGCACTGAAATATGTTAGTTATCCATAGCAACAATTTTCTCTGGTACGAAGAAAATATTTTTAGGGTACACTCCGCTAGAAATTCCGTTTACTCTGTTTATAATGTACAGGTACGTGTTTTATTCTTGTCAGCGTTAAAATGAGTACATTGTAATGTTTATGGCCTTTTTTAACGTTGTGTGAATAATTTATGAATAATTTGAATAGAGAGAGAGTGAGAGAGACAGCGAGAGACAGAGAGAAAGAGTGACATAAGAGGGAGGGAGAGCTGGAGACGCGCCTCACTCCGTCAGACAGAGACCAGACCACTACAAGGCACGATAAATGGTCAGCTATCTTCCCCTCCTCTCTCACCAAGTAGCCCTACCACCACCACTCGATCTCAATGTTATTAACGACCTTTACCAGGGGTCGTCCTCGTAGAGAACGTTGTCAGACTTCTCCAGGAAAGGAAGAGACGCACCGTCCTGCTGAAGTTGACTGACTACGAGCAGAAGGGGGGGGGGGAGGGACG